TTGTACTCTTTCTTTTAACTTACCTTCGGATGTTTAGTCATGTTTATTTTGTGCTGAATCTGGTATTAATGTGGAGGAGATGATCATTTCACATGCGCCTCGCGCTGCTGCACTTGTTGAACTGAGGTGCTACAGCGATCTGTCACTCCACATTAAACACCGCCATTGATTCTTGGGATTTAAGAATCGATATCGTTCTGTAAAAATAAGAATCGATTAATATCGAGATATCGATATTTTTTACCCAGCCCTATGAGATACTCATATAAGTTATACAGTCAAATAAGTTAAATAACTTTTCTGACACAAAAACACTGAGTGAATTGAGTTGAACAGTGAATTGATTTTCAAACAATTTTGCATGAATGAATCTTAGTATAAATCATGAGAAGCAAACTAAATAAAAACTATAATATACACAACTGCTAAGAAGTTTAGATTGGGTAAGATGTTTTGTTTTTGAAAGAAGACTCTTATGCTTACCAATGCTGCATTTATTTGATAAAAAATACCATAAAAACAGTAATATTGTGTGTGACAGCTATCCTGTGAATGATACCGGCACAGGAAGTTTAGCTCTCAGGTTGTGACCGTGAGAAATGCACCTCTCAGTTATCTTTCCAAAAAGGCATCCAAAAGTATTTTATGCTTTATCATAAAAGTAGAAATATATCTATATCTTTTTTAAACACTAGACGTACAGGCTGCATACCCTGGGACGCCGAAGAGATTTCGCTGTAGCGACCGTCAGTGTTTATGATGCTAGCTAGCCTTGTCCCTCTCTGGCTGCTTAACTCCAGGAGCACAGCTCTGTGAGGCAGACAAAGTCAAATTAAACTGCAATATTGAATGTAAGACTAGAACTGGATTACACCCACATCTGATACATGTATTTGTCGGCTTGGTGCACATGCAGATTTTCTCCTCTAGTGCGTCCATGCCAGAATTCCCACAAGACAGGAAGTGTACAGGAGAGCGAGAATTGTAATTAGATGGCGTTCTGCTGTAATCTGCTGTATGTGTGCAGGGAGCTATCAGCAACACGATATGGAATCGGTCCAGTTTTCCAGCAGCTGGCAGAAGCAAGTACAGCGCCCTCTCTAGGCTCTCTACAGTTACCTGACGAGGCTTGTCTGATGCCCACAGCATGTGTGCAGTGTTTTATCTGCCAGATGATGATGTTTGCAACAGTTTCAAGATCAGAAAGTCTTTAATGTTTCAGATTTCCAGCAGAAGGAAATGTATCTGCCAGTCATTTTATGCCGCCTCAACACTACACAAAGTTTGGTTAAAATAAAGAAGTTGTGATTTCTAGTTTTCGCAGATCTCAATTGCACAAGATATCACCATTAAAATGCAATTACCATTACCTACCTAGCATAATTTAACTTATGATGCATTAATAATTAGACAAGCTATATTATCATAATTAGAATACAAAAATATAACACTCTGTCTATAAATATATCAAGTTAATAATAATAATACTAGCTAGCCTTGTAGCAAGCACAATGTATTAATAGAAGAAATATCATCCGGGCACATGCCTTGTTTATAAGGGTGAAGTTTGGACTTCAGTGGTCTCTTAAAGTTCCCCCTTGAGTCTATCCTTGTGGAGAACGATCACCCCCGCACGAGATTGACAAGGGGGATCCAGTATACGGCGCTATGAAATGCAATCTTTTCAGTAGTGTTGGGTTCAGCAATGTTGCAAAGACTTTTTATTGTTGTGTTAATCACGTCTCTGGTGTTTTAGTGACCACGGCTGACCTGCTGGGGAAGAACCGAGGGCTGGATGTGGTCTTCAAGCTTATATCTCCACACACCACCAAGCACTTACGCACTGTCAAGTGAGTATCACATATCGTGTGGGTGCGTCATTGGCATATGCTGATCTTGCTTGATAGTATGAATAGTTCTGCGTGCTGAAAGCGCTGGTCATTACATTAATCACACGCTTGCTTGCATTAGTCTAAATAAAGACGTATGCCAGCATAGACTGCTCTTATTTTGATATTAAACTGATTATAATTTATTATAATAATATATTTAATATAATAGTAAATGTATTACAGACTTAACTCTGGACTCTACCACAATTTTTTGCATTTTGTTATTATTTTTGTTTCATAACATCAACAACAACAACAACAACAGCAGCAACAACAACAACAACAATAATAATGTTATGCTAAACCCACTTTAGAACTAAAATAATAATAATCATTTTATTATTAATATTTTTATAGTTCTATTGTGTCTTTAGCCTTAATAATAATAATAATAATAATAATAATGATAATTTTATTTGTTTAAAAATATTTTTATTCTACTTTTTGTGACGTAGTATCTGATTCTAAACGCCAATATCGCCTGGAATCTGTGTGATCCACTAAATGTACAGACATAATTTGACTTTCAGTGATATCAAAATCTTCCAACACCAGAAGGTCAGAAGTCTGACTTTTAAGTCTCTCTGCAACGCGAGTCTCTGTCTCTAATAATAATATTAAATGGATAGTTCACCTAAAAATAAAAATTGTCATTTATTCACCCTCAAGTTGTTCTGAAACTGTATGAGTTCATTATATATGCTTTTATTGTTATTGTTACTCCTATTAATATTTCTTTGACTTATTTGATCAATTTAGTATTTCTATTCATAAAAAATAAGCAAAATGATTGTGTGCACATGAACAAAAGTTTTTTTAGCCATTGACTTCCATAGTATTTTTTCCATACTATGGAAGTCGATGGCTACCGTCAACTGTTTGGTTACCAAGATTCTTCCTTTGTGTGTTTTTATATATATATTACAATAAGTAATAATAAATACATTCATGCTAATTGTGTAAATGTAGTAGAAGTACTACTACTACTAATTATTATCATTATATATGCTTTTATTGTTATTGTTACTCCTATTAATATTTCTTTGACTTATTTGATCAATTTAGTATTTCTATTAATAAAAAATAAGCAAAACGATTGTGTGCACATGAACAAAAGTTTTTTTTTTTTTTCTGCAAAAGTCACTTTTGTCTCTCTTTAGCATGCAGTATTTACTGTTCACTAATCAGTATAGCAAGAACAGCAAGAATATAATTTTTACATTTTATATATTTTGCGATTATGCATTTCACCTTTTAAACACTTCAATGAACTAATCAGTCTGGGAAAGTTGCACTTTCAGATCCAGTATCCCTCTTCGCAGAACTGTTTTGCCCACGCTGAAATCATGTAAACTCAGAGTATAAATGTCATAAGCTGTTCCATCCATCCACTGACAGCACTTCAGTATCACTTGAAAGCGTATATATCTGTAATACATACATGGGCTAAAAATGGCCTCTGAGGCCTTTACAGTGCGCTGCAAAGAGTTCGAATCTACGTTAAGAATTTCTCTCTGTTCACTCTCTGATGAATATGAAAACAATACTCAGCGCACAGGCGGAACAGATCAACAGATCTTCCATATTGTCAAATTTGTCTGCTTTGGCTTTCTGCTGACAGCTCGGCCTCATAGCTCAAATCCCTGCAGAACATCTGCGCACTGATGCTCGTAGTACTGACTGATACCGTGTGTCATTTCAAAGAAGCGACAAGCCGTTAGCGTGGGGAAACAATGGCATTTGCCTGCCTCTGAAATTGCAATACGCCACTGTTTGCATTAATGTCAGCAGCATGACTCAAAGACTCCGACAGCGGCAGAGGCGAGATATGATATGATTTCTTTATGGAGCTCCCAGTGTCCGCAAACAGAGAGGCTGCGGGTAAATCGGCTTGACTATCCTGAGGACAGAATAGCGGTTTTGCATCAGCGAGCTCCTGTCTGCTCCACCGCTGGGCTGTTTGTGCTCTCTTGCAGTTGGTGAACAGGGAGTGACATATTGTCTCTGTAATAGAGACCTAACAATGTTGTGCACTGTAGGGGTATGGCTACATACTGCAGTAAGTCAATGAGCTTTTCAAGATTTACCATGCCATGTGACCAGAGAAACAGAGAGAGAGAGAGACAAAGTCTTGCCTAGCCGAGCCTCTCTCTCTGTCTGTCTGTCTATCTATCTGTTTATCTGTCTCTATCTGTCTGTTCGTTCGTTCTTTCTGTCCATCTATTTACCACAATTCAGTCCATGAATTCAGACATTCTCCATTCATATGAGATTAGAATTTGCCTATTTTATGTGGAACATTCACCAGATGGTCCGTGAACAGACTATTTGAGTCTGAGTCTACATGGACAGCAAACAGTAACAGAGTCTGATAGTTGAATGACAAGGGCAGTATTTAAAGCCAAATACCCCCATGTAGATAACAGGCCCATTGCTGTTGCTCACAGTGCATGTGTTTTCAACACACGTGGTGTTGACATTGATCTGCTCAGTGTCTTGTCTTGATCCCAGCGGCGACGATAATGCTGTCCATCGCTGCAGTGTGACCCCTATCAACAACTCTCAGAGATGATTCCAATTGTGATGTGTTGAGAGTTGAAATTGTCTTGATAACACTGTTTGTGCAGATGGCACTAAGGAGACCGTTGCGCCGCACACGCCTAGAACCAAGATTTTTTTTTTTATTTGAAGAAAAAGAACCCAAGCGTACAATAAGACGCACAATGAAATGATTAATGACGTGAAATGAGAGGTATGTTAGAATAGTATGTCTTCTACAGTGCGAAATGGGATTTGCACAAGGAGAACATGCTTCTGGCTCTGAAAATAACCAATAATAGCTCTGATTTTAGGGTTAGGCTTTGATTGGTTGGGTTAATCGAAGTGAAGCCTTTCTTTGGCTCAGTCTCAAATGCACCACTTGATTTGGTCTTACACAACATAATATGCGGCAAAGATGTAGATGTAGAAAGCAGGGGGCCTTTCTATCTATCTATCTTTCTTTCTTGATTAAGCTTTTTCTTAATCTTTATTCTCTGCTTTTCCATCTCAGAAGCTAAAGAACCCAAGCGTACAATAAGACGCACAATGAAATGATTAATGACGTGAAATGAGAGGTATGTTAGAATAGTATGTCTTCTACAGTGCGAAATGGGATTTGCACAAGGAGAACATGCTTCTGGCTCTGAAAATAACCAATAATAGCTCTGATTTTAGGGTTAGGGCTTTGATTGGTTGGGTTAATCGAAGTGAAGCCTTTCTTTGGCTCAGTCTCAAATGCACCACTTGATTTGGTCTTACACAACATAATATGCGGCAAAGATGTAGATGTAGAAAGCAGGGGGCCTTTCTATCTATCTATCTTTCTTTCTTGATTAAGCTTTTTCTTAATCTTTATTCTCTGCTTTTCCATCTCAGAAGCTCAAAAACGTAGCTTGCTCTCTCCACATATTTCAAGGCATTGGATTTTGTCAATCCGACAGGCCGGTGGCGATATTTATTGGCAGATTGTTGCAAAGCCATTCATAATTATTCTCTGTTTTCCCCGTTTGCATTGGGTAGAGGAATATGGAGACTCTGCTGAATCAGCAGCCCTGTTGCAAAATAAATGCTTATGATCACAATGACAGGAATCTTTTTTTATTTTTTATATATATATATATATATATATTCAGCCTCTCCACCACCCCGCCAATGCTAAGTGCAGCTGGATGTGTGCCCACGGTACTTAGCTTTATGCGTCTTCGGAGGGGGATAGAATGGTGCACACATGACGCAACTGCAGAAATGAAATGCCTCATATACATTTTGTAATGTCAGATGTGTTTTCTGTTGTTTCACAGGGCAGCCGCTGATGCTTTTGCTGCAATGTTATGCTCAAGTAAGTTCCTTTTGCTTTAACTTTTGTAAACATGCTGGGGCATCACAATAATGTTTCTGGAGACAAATTCTCACAGCATGCTTGGCTTCAAAGCTCTGTTCCAAAGGTTGTATATTTGTGTTTTTATTTATTTTAAGGTTTGCTGTCTACTTTATATAGTGCATACATATTTTAAATAATATATAGTATCACTTTTGCCATTTTTTAAAATCCTTTTAAACATATACACATACATACAGGTTATAAATTATTTATGTATGAAATGAATAAAATATATATTTTTATTATTCTCTCCGTGTATGTATGTATATGTGTGTGTATATGTATACATACATACACTGTGTGTGTTTTAGTCTACGCTACCTGCAGTTCATCTGTCGTCCTGCAGGGGTCAGTGTGACTCTGTGAGTCCCATCCTTCTCTCTCCCATTGAGAACACAGCCGCTGCACCTGTTGAAGCTCTGCAGTCAGCGAGCCTGTGAATAACGTAATGCTCTGTGGGGCTTTTAGTAGCCTGCTCTAAAAGAAACACGTCTGGCCAGTGATGCCACAATTAATTCTCCTCGGTTTAGCAAAGCTAAGTTGTCTGTGCCTTTTGTCTGCTGTCTTTTTATTTCTCCGGACGACGTGGCGAGAGCTTGATAATCATCTAACGTGGCCATATTTCCTCCAGCGAGCTCTGCAGAAGCATTGTCATGTTTTATACACATCAGATATGCACTGCGACATTTGTACTAGTGATTATAAGACACAGAATCTCCGGAGTCCACGATGACAGGACATTTCCATATTCTGAGAAATCATATCCCACTGTATTCACAGACCCTGTTTTTTAAACTCCTAGAAACCCTCTGGCTACATTAGCAGCACCAAAAAATCCTTCAAGAAGTCCAAGCCTGATAGAAACCATCGCAGACATTAATATTTCAGATTGCTGTATTTGTGCAAGTCATAGAACTGCAGTGTTTTTAAGTTCATGACTCCCATACTGGGAGTTCAGGAGGGATACAAGCCAAGGAAGTATTCACAACACAGGCTTCGGAACTACCCAGAACAACGTGAAAGTGATGTTCTTGTTTCCCTTATTTCCTTTTGTAATTCCATCACTGATTGTTTTGCGGGCTCGTGGAAGTAAATACCGCTGACCTTCATATCACAAACACTCCCACTGCTCTCCGTTACGGCTTCCATTATATGCACTGATCGCACAGCGCGATTGGCCGCTTTCCAACCCCTTCATCAGAAGCAAGGAGACTTCGGGCAGAGAGTCCTGCGAACTCCCTCGCATGGAGCCCCCTGCCCCTTCTCTCAGCGTTTTCGGCTGGAGAGATTTATGGAGGAGCCAGCTGAATACTGAGCTTGGAGGATTTCTCTTAAAACAAGGAGAGTGGAAATTCTTTTGACAAATTCACAGGCGGGCTTTCAAACATTGATTTAATAATGTCACTTCAGTCCTGGAAAGAGATCAGCGGAAGACACACAGTGAATCTGAAACAAATCCTCTGCTCAGACGGATAGAAACAATGCAACCTAAATGAGCTAGAATTGAAATGGCATTAAAATGCATCACTTTCCATTTGGAATAATACCAAATGGCCATTTAATTGTAACTGTTTCCTGTGCAACCGTTTTAGGTGTTTGTGAGGTCCCAGAGGTCGACTTGTAAAAACATTTGCATAAGACATGGGTACAAAAATACCTTTAATTGTACCTGCCCCTTCTCTCAGCGTTTTCGGCTGGAGAGATTTATGGAGGAGCCAGCTGAATACTGAGCTTGGAGGATTTCTCTTAAAACAAGGAGAGTGGAAATTCTTTTGACAAATTCACAGGCGGGCTTTCAAACATTGATTTAATAATGTCACTTCAGTCCTGGAAAGAGATCAGCGGAAGACACACAGTGAATCTGAAACAAATCCTCTGCTCAGACGGATAGAAACAATGCAACCAAAATGAGCTAGAATTGAAATGGCATTAACATGCATCACTTTCCATTTGGAATAATACCAAATGGCCATTTAATTGTAACTGTTTCCTGTGCAACCGTTTTAGGTGTTTGTGAGGTCCCAGAGGTCGACTTGTAAAAACATTTGCATAAGACATGGGTACAAAAATACCTCCATTTAATTGTACACATGAACTACAATTTCCACTTCACCAATAGCATTATGAAGAGCTGTTTGTCTGTTTGTAATGCTATTATTGAATTTCTGAAACCACAAAGCAGATCAGAATTAAGTAGTTGGTCCCAATTGGACTCAAGGTTTTGTGCAGTGCTGCAAACATTTAGTTAATTTGAATAAGCAGTTTGGTTAATGTTTATCTGCTGATAGATAAACCAGCGACAGGTTTTTTTTTTGTGCTTTTTGCAGTCAGAGTTGATGGGTGTTTGCAACATTTTCCAGTCTGCATGTTCTTTTATGTATGATATATTTTTTTTTATAATTTAATTTTAATATTATTTAATATTTTACTTTTTTGTTAGTTTTTTGTTTTACATTTTTTAATTTTATATCTATATTTATACTGTTTATTTTTATATCTTTATTTAAACTATATTTATATATACTATATTTACTCTTAATATTTTAACTTTTTT